ATACCTATGACTTTTAATTTCATTATATCTGAGATGTTGAGAATAGAAGTTTATTGCAAGTTTCCTCACTGATTTGTAGTTAAAATCCTTAAAATAATTCATGATACTTTTATATTTTTTTCTCAATGCATCCAAAAAGGGCTTAACTTACTTTTGATTGCCTTTCAAAATAATCACTTTGTATTTGGATTGTTGGCTGCCGATGAGTATGCTGACCAGATAAGCACTTATAAGTCATTAAAATCTTCCTCAGGAAAGATTTATAATATGCATGATCATAATATCCCATCACAGAAAAATAAATAACGGAACAACAGGGGAAAGTACTCCATTTTAAAGTGTTAGTCACAGAGAATTAACAATTATATTCTAGCTTTTGGCATTTAACAAAATTTCACTTTAATGGAAAACTCTTTTAAGACATTAACCACATTTGTTAAATAGAGAAAGAGGCAATAATAATTTTCCTTGCAGGACCATTTGTGAGTTTTTGAAGTAGATAATTTTGCACCTGGAAGCAGACATTTATTCCTTCTGATTCTGGGTTTAGGGTTGATGCTGTAGGCACAATAACATAAAGGGGCTCTATATAAGGCATAAAACTGCATTCACAAAATAAAAATACACTCAACTATTAGCATGGAGAATAGAAAACTGTAGACTCCTCTCAAATTGCCTCACCTTATCTTTGACAATGTTTATAGTGAAAGTAGAAAGTCATGCCCAAGGATACAATAAAGAGGTAGAGGATTCATTTCCTCTGCAGGCAACTGATGAACTGCTCGAGAGTGCCATGGGAGTCAAAACAAAGAGCAGGGCACTGGCACGTATCCCGTGGTGCGCTGGCAGCATTTGAGTAAGAAACCAAAGAGTTTTTGAAATACAGAAAAAGTGCTGTGCATTACACTGAATATGTTTTTTTAAATGCTGTATGAACTTTGCCTTAGTGGTTTGATTTGAATGTATCACATTAAACCACTGGAGACTATTAAAATGTAGCAAACACATACCAGGTGGTATGGCTTTCCTGTGCTAACAATTATGTTGGAAATAACTCCGTGCCTCTTGCCAGTAGCCTTATGGTTTATTCTCTGCAAGCCAAGTTTAGGACTAAAACTTACAGTTGTACTCTGAAGTATTCATTAAACTATTAAAATTGCCAAAAAGAAAAGAAAGCAGAGGATGAAGGGATAAGAAAGGGAGGTGTCCTACCTGAGGCTCACAGTACGCACACCACAGCAACACTTTCCAGCCCGGAATTCTAGAAAGGGAGACAGCTGGACATGTTTTGCGGCTGTTTGCTCTTGTTCTCTGCTATTCCCTGCTTAAAATAGCTGCTTGCTGAGGTCTGTGTAGCACTGGGATAATCTTATTATAGTGGATCCAACTCACAGCTAAACACACTTGTCCCATTTCTCATGCAGGCTGCAGCAGGCTATGCTGTACATGGGGGAATGAAGAAATCCATGGTATGAGGCATGAAGAAATTTGTGGTGTGGCCACAGAACACCAGAGCAACCAAATTACAGCAGTTTACCAAGTTTCCACTCTATTAAGTTATACTGAGCAGTTGTTGTAATCACATGTCTGCTCTTAATTTTTACATCACAGACAGACTTCCATGAAGTTTCCATCACCTAAATTAAGCCCTCACGATTTCATGCAAAAATTTACAGATTTTCTTAATCTTTGCCAGTGTGATGACTTTGGATTGTAATAAAGCAAGCTCCAGTCAAATTAGTTACCTTTTAATTCTACAATGTGGTTAAGAGTGTGAAGTACCTCAGAGCTTTAAAGATTTCTCTTTGAAGTATCAAAAAGGGATCATTTTCTCATAAAAAATTTTACATTTGCAAGAAAAGGATGAGGGTTGTGGGATAATTTAATTTAAAAAATAACTTTAAAGTATGACAAGGAGCTTTGTACTTTATAATTAAGAACAGATAGGGACTAATGAATAATAATATGGACAAAGCCAAAAACTTGAGAAAGGGAGAGGGTCACTAGCAAGAAAATAACACGTACTCAAAGACTGAAAAGAAAATTTGCATATATCCTAACTGTTCTTCAAAGGGAAAAGAAAAAAGAAAAAAGCCAGTCATCCGTGACCTTTTGTGGAAGCTTTTAAGGCTGGAAGGGCATAGAAAGAATATGTCTAGGAAGGAAACTTCAGTAATTTCATACAGAATAACAGAATTAACTAGGTTGGAAAAGACCTCTGAAATCACCGAGTCCAACCTATGACCAAACACCACAGTGGCAACTAGACCAGGGCATTGAGTGCCACACCCAGCCTTTCCTTAAACACCTCCAGGGACAGTGACTCCACCACTTCTCTGGGCAGCCTGTTCCAATGTCTAATCACCCTGTCTATGAAGAAATTCTACCTGATGTCCAACCTGCACCTCCCCTGGCATAGCCTGAGGACATTTCTTCTCATCCTGTTGCTGGTTGCCTGGGAGATCAGCAATCCCCCATCTGGCTACAGCCTCCTCTCAAGCTTCCTTTTCTCCAGCCTAAATAATCCCAACTCCTTCAGCATTCCTCTCAGGACTTACCCTTTAGAGCCTTCACCATCTTCATTGCTCTCCTCTGGACACACTCCAGCACCTCAATGCCCTCCCTGAATTAAGGGGCCCAAAACTGAACACGGTACATGAGATGGCCTCACCAGTGCTGAGTGAAGTGGGGGTGATCACTGCCCTGGTGCTGCTGGCCACACTGTTACTGATACACATTGATACATTCCTGCTCTTCATACCAGTTTGAGTGAAACTGGGACCAGGGTAAGATGTGTCCAGATGCTATGGACAAGTGATTGGTTGGTCCTGAAAAGGCTGCTGGAGCTGTCAGCCTTCACTGTAGGCATTGCCTTGCAAATGAACAGTTTGTAAATCACTTATTTCAGAAAACTGGCCTCCTACATCAGTTTTTCCTTCAGAACCTCCACATGTACCAGCACATTCTCTAGATCTCATAGTTTCTTCCATATCATATACAAGTTACCTACACCCAAATAAATACCAACAACTTCCAGGGATGAAAATGTTAGCAGGCAGTAATACTTCTGCGCTTATTACTGGTTCTAGCCAAGTGTACGAAACTGAAGAAAAATACACTAGAAAAAAATAGTAATTCACATAATTGATAGGGTTGCTAAACAGACATGGAGTTAACAGACTTTGGGAATTACCTGGTAGCAATTTGTTTACTGAAACACTCACACCACAGTAGATTCTCTTGCAGGATTTGTTAGTAGCAAGAGGGCCTGTTCTGATTTATGCACATTTTCTACCATAGAAAGATATCAAGGATTTCAGAGCTTTCCCATCTGGAAATGCACACAATGCACTAAAAAATACCTTAATAAAGACAGACTGCTCAGAACCCAGAGCAAAGAAACACTTCTTGAAGTAATTTTTGATTATGATTCCCTTATTTTATTTTGATTCTAACGTGAATTACTGCTGTCAGAAATTCCAGGGATTGAAACCAGACACATATGTGGAAGTATACCCAAATTCTGTGTTCGTTTTTGGGCCTCTCACTACACAAAGGACATTGAGGTGTTGAGTGTGTCCAGAGAAGGCAGTGAAGCTGGTGAAGGGTCTGGAGCATGTGTCTTAGAGGAACAAACAGCTGGGGGTATTGGTGCTGGGATCCTGACACAGGAAGAATGATATGCAGGACTCCAATGATTTCAGAAGGCTAATTAATTACTTCATTAAACTATTATAATATAACTATATTACACAAATATAACACTAATAATAACTATCACAAACTAACAAGAAATCCCGTGACTCTCTCACGAGAGTCCCAACACAGCTGTGACCTAATTGGTCAATCAGACCCAAACACCAGCACCAGGACCCAATCAATCAATCAATCAATCAATCACCTTGGGTAATCAATCTCCATGCCACATTCCACATGGGCACAAACACAGGATAAGAATTGTTTTGATTCTCTTTTCTTTGCTTCTCTCAGGAGAAATCCTGAGAAAGAGAAGTCTCTCTCTGTTCAGAGGGTATGTGAATACCACACTGGGGGAACTGGGGCTGCTCAGGAGTGTTCTTACCAATCTCTACAACCTGAAAGTGGGTTATAGCAAGGTGGGGATCTTTCTCTCCTCCCAAGTAGCAAGCAAGAGGACAAGAGGAAACAGCCTCAAGTTGCAGCAGGGGATGTTTAGCCTGGATATTAGGAAATATTTCTTCACTGAAAGGGCTGTCAAGCATTGGCACGGCTACCTGGGGAAGTGGTTGAGTCACCATGCCAGAAGGTATCTAAAAAGATATATAAATGTGGTACTTAAAAACATGGTTTAGTGGTCACTTGGAAGTGCTGAGTTAATGATCTTGGAGGTCCTTTCCAACCTAAATGGTCCTACAATTCCAAGTACACAATCTAAGTGTAGCAGCAAACAAAGCAAAAGCAAGTAGAATATTGAGTATCTTCAATAAGTCTGGTCTTCTTTTTCCTAATATAAAAGTACTATCCTATTATTTTCAAGTTGCACATTGGAAGTATTAAGTATTTTTTCTGAGACCACACCCCAGCCAGAATCATCACCTATTTTCGGGTAGAATTCTGGGTTCTTTAATATTATTTTTAATCATCTGTGTGTCAGACAGCCACCTACTAGCTTCACTGACTTCTCACTATCAGAACACGAGCAGAATAATATATATCTTCCATAGACAGAAATTTAGCCACTGGCATGGAGATATCTTACTCTTGCTGCTTAATTCTGAATTGGCCAAATCTTACATTTAGACATGAGAACTTTTTGCAGCCAGAAGGAAAATACGAGGATCTTGATATTGCCTATGGAGAACATAAATATAATTTTGGGGCCTTTCCTTTACCTTCTCCTGCAAACTCTATTTCCTGTTCTCCCCATATCTGTCATTGGAAGGTCAGGTCAAGTTCATCTTTCAATGCAAGAACCAAAAGGAGTGAGTGGATGCATCAGACATGGAAAGATTTCTTTTAACTAGGCATAAAACATCATTTTAATGAGGACAAGTAGTACAACCAGGTGATCAGAATTGCTTGTTCAATGTAGTTTGAACCTCACATGTTCAATATCATTTTATGAAAACTTTATTTATATATTATTGCTACCCATGATATGATACTGGCTTAAAGAGACTTTATAACCCTTTTAAAATTATAGTTGTGCCAACACAAACAACTGCCTCAAAAATATTTGGATGGGACAATTTGTATTTTAACTACTAAGCAAGTACATTGAGGGCAGTCAGAAAAGCAACATTCAAAACTCTGGTTTAATATTATGCGTGGTGTCATCCTAAAAAAGGAAATTGAAATAATCATATTGGAAGATATTTAAACTTTTAAATACAGTTTTTCAGCTACAACTTAGGAAACATCTTGAAAGCTAGCTGTAATGTTTTATTTGCAGGATCAGAATGATTAGTAGCAAGCATCAGATTTTCTTATTACAAAGGGCACTGATAACACAAAAGGATTAATTTTAATTTTGGGATTTTTTTCAATTCAGTAGTTTTTGTGTCTCAAAATATTTCGGTCCTTCATTCTTTGAAAACAAGTATCTGTCAGTTTATGCGCCTTGAACTAAAAAATTTAAATCCAACCTCTACATACTCAAGGGAGAAGAACCAGTCTAGCACCACAAAAAGACCGGATCCCCTTTTTAATTGACTGAAAGGTGGCATTTTTCACAGTGCTGAAAATTAAGAGGTGTGTTCTTTAGAGGAACAAATGCTTCCTCACCTTACATAAATGCTGACAGAATGCATTTTAACCACTAGCTGCTAGAATTTTGTCAATTCAAATACAGCATCTCTTGTCAGCAGGATGCTCACAGAGCAAATCTTATGTCATGATGCCCAAGAAGGGAAGCTTCTTGCTCTCCACCTTTGAGGACAGGGTTGCTTGGAGTGGGACTTTAGTTTACCTGAGAGTACCTTTGAGTAGCTAGAACTTACTGCTCTATAGATACACAGCTATCCTCCCCATGTTCTTCTCTCCTCTGGGAGGGAGTTGTAGCAGGAATTCACAAGAATACCTGTCTGCTTTCCAGAGACTCCTCCTGGCTACCGATGGCATCACAAAGGGAAGGGAAAGCCATGACCACTCCCTTTATACCATCACCAGCAGCAACAAAAAGCCTGGTATTTTTAGATTAAGTAAAATTAATATTTAAGTCTTAAAATCTTAACTACATACTCGATACATAATGAGTGTCTTTTGACACAGAGGTGGTGAGACTGCCACACAGCTCATGCATTTTACAGTTCTCTGGAGAGCTAACAACAACAATCAAACCAAGAATAAACAAGCAAAAGACAGGGCTAAGCATCTCCTTTTTTTACTGTATTTTATGTCATTAAAGAAACCCTCACATTGTAACATTTTTTAAAAAGTGTCTCTTTATACATTCCAAAATGCATGTGGAAAACTCCAGCTACCTGATACTTAAGTAAGTGTAATGGATTTTTACATTCTTTTATATACATAGTACTGCATTATGGACGATGATACTGACATTATCTTCAAATTATTTCCTTTCATCCGCTTCCTTTACCCCCTCTAAATCCTCAAATTTTAAAAATGAAGATTTGTCATAGCCCATGAGATGGTTATAATCCTGAGGATTTGGGAAAAGCATAGGATTAACAAGCATTGATTTTGTTTTAGCATAAAATGTTGTAAACATCTTGGTGATGTCTGGAATCTTTACATCTTTCTGATGGAAAACAGTTGCTTTTTCTGCCAAGATGGCATTGTAGGTAATGGCTGTATAGGTGTCCACTTCCTCTTTATAATAGAGCCGGATCACGTAACCTTTTGTAAGGAGATGCAACGTAACCGGAGTTACAAACGTAAAAATCCCGATCAACCCATAAAAGGCAGCTTGGACAAGCAAACTTTCCACTCCAATACCACTTTTGAGCATGATGTAGGGCATCATGAATAGGTTGAATATGCTGGTGGAGTAAGAGAAAAACTTCACACCTACATAAAAGGAATCAAAGAAAATAAAGGTTAACACTAATGAGCAACATTTTCTCTACAATTACCTGCATTTTTCTAACACATAACAATACCATTACTTGAACTGATGACGTTACTGAAAACCCCTTTCCCTATTTTTTTAAGCTCATGGAGAAACCATTGAAAGCTCAATCTGTCTCATTGCCACTGTTCTGATTTGTTTGTACCTTCATGCTGGGTTTGTCAAAGCTGGCTCCATTTCTGTGATGCAGTCAGCTATTAGCTGTCATGCACAAATGAAGTTTTTTTCTGCCTTCACAGGCAGAAAAACTGATTTCTAATGAGACTTGACTCCATTCATGGACACATGTAATGGTGCTCACTTCAGATACGGCAGACAGGGAATTTCTCTCTTCACCAACAAATAATGTTGACATTCAGTGTGTATTACAAAGACGCCAGCTTGGCCACCATGCATAAATGCTGGGTTACTAAATATTAACAAGTACTCCCCAGCCATTTTGCATGTGGCTTGAAAGGCAGCAGCCAGTGCTGTGGACCACCCACAGTCCTTAAATGACCATGAAAACCAGGAGCCCAAGATGCTGCGACAAATAAGTATGTTGGGACACATTTCAAAGATATGTATCAGAAAACATCCAATGGCTTTGCCTTTCACTAGGTCTTTGTAACATTCACTGGCCAAAGAAACATTTGCTAAGTCTCATTAGAGATGGAGCACTTCACCGTAACACCTGCCTGCCTGGGAAGCATTTCAGAAACACTGAAATGTGTTTCCAAGCACACAGAATGTAAACAGCAGTTACAGGTCAGCTTTGCTGCTTACTGGGTTGTATAAGCCACCCCAAGGGCCTCAAAAGAAGTCAAAGAAGACTGAGGGTTTACAGAGATGAACAGAGCTCCCTGCATACCCAAGCAGAGAAGCAGAAACTAAGCACCACCACTACCACTGTTTTGTACCTACGGTCCAGATTTTGGCAAACTTGGAAAGGAGAACACTCACTTTTAATGTTTCATTTTAAAGTTACTAAATACTGTTAAAAATACAACAAAAAAGAAAGGCAATATAAACCACTTCGAGTCACATACCCAAAACTGTCTTTGCCAAATTTCCTTTATAAACTAATCTTCCATGTTCTGGGTGATCGTGAGGGGAGGATGTGCTGAGGCTGCGAACAGCCACTCCTTGAAAAGATGCAACCTGAAAGATGAAACCAGTACAGGCGTAAGGAACATCAGTATTACACCTTATATCTACCTATCCATGCATATACACACATACACACATATATGTACAAGTATACACTCAAAGTTTCTCCTTGCTCTGAACCCACCCCCAGCATTTCAAACTAAGGATTAAAGTTAGGTTACACTCCAAAGCATGCCAAAAACTCCAACTAATATGCTGCCTGTTTTAATAACTTACCATGTAAATATCCAAAATTAGCATGAAATATTTGTAACTCCATTACTGATAATTGAGGCAGCAATCAATTTACACACAACTTTGCAGGGAGACATTTATGGCAGCTGTCCTCACCACATCTCTGTCTGATCACAAAATAACAGAATGGCCTGGGTTGAACTGGGCCTTTAAGATCATCCAGTTCCAACAGCCCTGTTGTGGGTAGGGACACCTTCCACTATACCAGTTTGTTCCAAGCCAGCCTCGAGCACCTTGAGGGTGGGGGTATCCACAGCTTCTCTGGGCAACCTATTCCAATGCCTCACCACCCTCACGAAAAAGAATTTTTTTTCCTAGTATCTCAGATTAGCTATATAACTTCCTTTAGATTAATCCATTCCCCATTGTCCTGGCACTTCATGCCTGGTAGAAAGACCCTTTTCCCAATACGACTTTCTTGTAGGCTCCCTTCAGGTCCTGAAGGCCACAATTAGGTCATCCCAAAGCCCTCTTCTCCAGGCTGAACAAACTCAATTCCCCCAATCTTTCACCGTAGGATAGGTGCTACATGCCTCCAGTCATTTTGGTGGCCTCCTCTGGACTGGCTCCAGCAGGTCGATGGGGGCCCCAGGGGTGGACAAAGCACCCCAGCTGGGGTCTCGCCTGAGCGTACCAGAGGAGGCACGCCCCGAGGAGCACCTCGCTTTCCTCCTCAAAATCCCCTAAGGGCGAAACCCCAACCCCAGGGCCGCCGCCCTTTCCCCGTGGGGTGGGAACGCTCGCCCCGCTCCCACAGTTCCCGAACGGTCCCACAGCCCCCTCACGGAACCTGTCGGTGCCTCGCAGCGGCAGCGGCCACAGCGGCCCGGCGGCGGCAGGCGGACTGCGCGGCGCCCCGCAGCCATGCGGGGGCGGCGGGGCCGGCCCGCAGCAGCAGCAGCGGGAGCATGGCGGGGCCCCACGGAGGACACGGCGGCGGGCGGGGCCGCACCGGGGGCGCGGCGGGCGGGGCCGCACCGGGGACGCGGCGGGCGGGGCCGCACCGGGCGGGGCCGCGCCGCGCTTGGCTCCGCCCGCAGGAAGACTCCGGCCGGCTCCGGGGCGTCCCCGCAGCAGTGCCCGTTCGCCGCAGAACGCCGCAATCAGTGGGGCTGGGAAATGCCTCTGAGGGCTTCGTGTCCAGCCTGTGGCCAACACCACCACCATGGTATAAACTGCCACATCAAATCATCCCTTAAACACCCACCAGAGATGGTGACTCCACCACCTCCGTAGGTAGTCCATTCCAATATCTAACATTCTTTATGTTAAGAAATTCCTCCTGGTGCCCAACCTGAACCTTCCCTGGCATAACTTGAGGCCATTGCTTCGTGTCGTCTCTCCCTGGGAGAAGAGGCTGACCCCACCTATAAATCTCCTTTCAGATAGTTGCAGAGAGCCATCAGGTTTTCACTGAGCCTTCTCTTCTCCAGGCTAAATTACCCAGCTCCCTCAGGTGCCCCTCATAAAACTCATGCGCCAGAACCTTTACCCAGCTTCATTACTCTCCTCTGGACAGCCTCCAACCCCTCGATGTCGTGATTAAGCAAGAGGCCCAGAACGGAACACAGGACTCGAGGTGCGGCGTCACCAGCGCTGAGCACATCACTGCCCTGTTCCTGCTGGCCACACTACTCTGCATACAAGCCCAGATGTCACTGCCTTCCTGCTGGCCACACTACTCTGCACACAAGCCCAGACGACACTGCCGTCCTGCTGGCCACACTACTCTGCACACAAGCCCAGATGTCACTGCCTTCCTGCTGGCCACACTATTCTGCACACAAGCCCAGATGTCACTGCCCTGTTCCTGCTGGCCACACTATTCTGCACACAAGCCAAGATGTCACTGCCGTCCTGGCCAGCCGAACACTCTCTCGCTCGTATTCAGTTGCTGGCGGCCGACAGCCCCGACCCCTGACATGGCGGGCCTACAGATGCCCCCATGAACTACGCGCCCCAGCATGCCCCGCTCCGCGCGCGCGGCATGCCGGGAGCACGGGCGCCGCACGGGCGGGGCGCGGGGGGGCAGGAAGCGGCCCGTGACCCGGGCGGAAGCGCTCGGAGGCAGCTGGGCCGACAGCGCGGCCCTGCGAGCGGGGCGAGGGAGCGGCGCCCGCGGGTGAGGGGCGGCCGCGGAGCGGGACCCCAACGGGGCCGCCAGGGACACCCCGCGGGCGGGGCGCCCCGGCGGGCGGGGGGCGGGTAGCCCGGCGGGCGGCCCCGCGGAAGGCAGCGGGCCTCGCCCCGCGCCCGGAGTGGGGGGGGCAGAACGGGGCCGGGTGGAGGGGCCGGAGCGGCGCCGGGGCCCGTCGGGGCGCGCAGGGCGCGGGGCCGGGCCGGGCTGGGGTTCTCCCACCGAGGTGGTGGCGAAAGGCGCGTTCCTCCGCCAGAACGCTCTCTGTGGAATGCCGGCGCCGCCGGAAAAGGGGCTCTGGGAGCAGTGTTGGGTTTGAGCATCGCTCCCAAACTCCTGCCGAAAGTGACGGGCGCCCTTTTCCTACGCCGGGCTGTAGAGAGAGGGGAAAAGTTCAGGCCGAAAGAATTCAGGACGCGCCTCCAGGGCTTGTTTTGCCAAGGTGAAAAGTGCTAGTTTAAGTGATTTGGCTGTAATGGTCGGCGAATGTAAGCAAAGGGTGATACCCCTACTTGTCGGTACAGAAATGAACTTTTGAGTGCAGTGTGTTCCTCGGAGGTTCTGCTTTAATACAAGGTAACCTGAGCATTGGTAAGTTATGAGGGCTTCACATTTGTGTGTGAAAAGGTGGTAGTGCTGCTGGCAGTTTGCTTTGACAGCCAATTTGGTCTTCCACCAGTTAACTTTTATTAAATATTTCTAGATATGGTTGGTACTGTGGGTTCTAAGTTAAGCTTTGCATTCTGAGGAGACCTAGATAGTCACAGGCCATTTGTTTACTTGGTTTTGAGGACTTTTGGAAGCAAACCAGAAAAACATAGATAAACAGGCACATGAGAGATCTTTAGGGTAAGAACCACTTTGTGCGCTTATTTTTGTGTACTCGCCTACATGCTCCCAATTTTCTCGTTTTACTATAATAAGGATCAAAACAATTGTTGGGGGAGAGATCATGTTCAATTAACTGAAGAGATACTTAGTGTTTATTAGTTTTTATCGGTACATTGGCCACATCTTTGCTCAGGTGGCACACACCTTGGCCTTGAGATCAGCCTTTTAATGAGCTTAAGTTATATCAGTAAAATGTTTACGTCAGTAAAATTCTTGCTAACGTTTTCACTGGGAGCTTTGAGATAATTTTTAGAAACTTTTAGCACTACAGCATTTATTTTTTTTCCTTGTGTCAGAAAAAAGCCATTTGAGACTTTTTTTTTTTTTTTTCTGTACCAGAGTGGGTGATGGAACAGATTTAGATGGTTTTTCATTGTCTTAATGTGAAGAGTTTTAGTATTGTTAATTGTTTTAATATTGTTGTAGAGAGACAAATGAGTATTGCACTCAAGGATACTCAGCTTCAGGTGTTTTACTGTGTTTTTACAATTCTCGTGCATGTTACAAGAAATCCTCAAGTTATGTAAGTATGGGGTTGTCAGATTATTTTAAGGAACGTTGATGTATTTTGACAAGTCTTTTAGCACCTAGAAAGGCTCAGGATTTAGTTAGCTTTATTGTGGGATAGTTTGCATAACAGCAGATTTTGGTGAATGCCTATAACGAGGGCAGAAATCCATGCCCTGTAAAATTTTGCTTCTTTTCCCCCAATGGCAAGAGCTGTACAGTACAGCTTGGAAGTACGCTTTGGAAGAAAACAATGACACTCCCCTGCCCATGTTTTTGAGGTTTTTTTGCTTGAAGCTTTCTGGGGAATTACTGAAAAGGGAAGGTTTATTAGACAGGAAAATAAATCTTTACTAAGATCTTTGGTACTCTGTACATGCTATCCTACCCCATCTCCTGTTTATCTCAACTAGACTTCACATACGGTATGCCTTCCTGTCACGTTCCTGTGTGTCCCAGGAAATTTGAATTTTAGAGCCTGAGAATATTTGAGTAGTGAATCAGCTGATTTGGAAATCATGCTGTACCAGTTTCTCCTCATGTTTTTTTCTAAATATGCTTCAATCCCTTAATTATTACTACATTAATTATTTTTTGATGTGTGCTGAGCAGTGAATGCTAAACTGAAGAGCAATGTTTTTAAACAAGTTATTATACAGGATAGAGTAGTATTTAGGATTGAACAGTAGGAGGCTGCAGTTGTAACACACAGAAGCCTTTGGTAATTGATAAACTCTTACTGATCTATAAATGCCACAAAAATTTGTCAGTTTTGGCTTTAAAAAAAAACACAGGAATTGGGGAAGGCAAATTTGCCATGCTTTCCAGAAATGGATAGTGTAGAATGCAAATGTCAGCAGCTGAAGCATACAAAAATTGTGTGTATGTCGTGCAGCTAATGATTTGGAAGCCATTTTAATTTCCTTAAACCAGAAGCTGCCTTTTTAAAGGATTTTCCTGTAGGATCAAAGAATCTGAATGCTTGAAATGTTTGCATAGATTCAGTGTTCTTGTGCAAATGAGAACAGAGCAATGAGGTTTTCGTCTTAGAGGTGTAAGATGTTGAAGTAGGGAAATAAGAACTCTTGTCTTGTGTGGCTTAACTGCCATGGTATAGAGGTTTGTGATATTTCACAGTATTTTACCTTGTAGGTGTAAACATTCTGGCAGCTTGTGTCAATTTTCAGATCTCTAATATCTAGTGGCAATTCTATGTTTTCTGCCGCAGGAAGTCCTTTTTAGAGTGGTTGGAAAGTTTCTGTGCCAAATACGTTGGATTTAGTTGTATTGTACTTTCCTTCTGATTAAAAAGTGGCATATCCCTTTTATGTAAATTTTCTCTTAATAAATGCAGGTTTTTGCTTTTTTTTTTTTTTTTTTAGGAGGCAAAGCAGAAGAACAGTAATACCTAATATATGTGCTTTTTTGAGATTTAAGTCAAGGAGCTGAGCTACCTTGTGGTAATGCCACATAAGCTTCTTGAAGGGCAAATGGAATTGTGAATGTACTTCAACCTAAATTAGTGGTTCTTTGCAGGAGCCTGAAATAGTCAAGTCAAAAATACGTAAAAAGTACACGTTAACAAAACTTGTGTTGTTCTTATCCTGACTGCTGCATTGGTGTAGTCTTGGTGAAGTGAAACAGGGCAACTATAAAATGTGGAAAAGTAATTAAAATATAGGTGGTTTCCAGGCACATTCAGAAATCTGTCTCTTTATTCCTATAGTCTTGTTGTTTATGCTGCTTTCATTATACAGAAGGAAAATATGGTGTTATGTTTTGTAATAAACAGTACACTGGAAATACACTGAGAGAAAATAATTTCTTGGAAGATAACATACAAGGTTGCTTCATTCTCCTTGACCTGTTATTTAAAACTTAAGGCCATGCCATTGTCAATTAAAAAAAAGGTACAGAAAATTTTCCTCCTTGTTCCTTTTGTACTCCCTGTGTGCACAAGTAAGAATTTGTGAGAGGTATTTCTATATTCTTTTGATTTATTTTCTATGTGCACTTTTTTCTGCCTTTGAAAGTGTTCTGATCTTCATACAATGTCATGACAGACAGCACTTCTTGAAACAGAAGAGGAACCATTACTGTTTTTTTTAGGTTTTTCAGAGTTCCTGAGTTTCTTGTTTTTCTTTTCTCCTCATTTGTTGCATTGGCTCTCTGATTTTCTGGGCTCTCTACTGTTGGTTGTTTTGTCAGGAATTAATTTATACTCCTAACAGTATTCATGATTTTATTTTTATAACAACACATCATTGCATCAGAATGGAAACTGAGTGAAACTCAGTGTGTCCCTTGCTAACATGTCAAATGCATCATATATTGGAAGATACTATGTCTTTTTCTTAAAAGCAGGTTGGCTTTCCTGCCATCTTTTACTTTTGGCAATCAAAAG